GAAGTGTGTGCACCCGCACCGCAAACCCACCTTAATAAACTTAATACGTTATATAATTCATTCTGCCACTTTGTACTACAATGTAATTACTTTACCAACCACTGTGACATGTTAAAATAGCTAAACTGGCTGTCGCTGGAATCCCAATGCACTCTTCATCTTTCCAGCCTTGTGCATAAGAGCATTTCTGAGAAGCTCCCACCCTACCTGCGTAGAATGCTCTCACCGGCTGTTCCCATCTCGTATAACCTCCAATCCAGTACTAGCACGATATTTGGCATACCGCAATAAAAAAATAAAGTGGCTCGATCCTCATTTTCCTACAGAGCACCGCAATTATGGAATAACTTCAGGGACACAGTCAAATCTTCATTCAATCTAAAATCTCTTAAGAGATCTATGGCAATATACCTCAGCACAGAATGCACCTGTCATGATTGAATATATGTGTATATATACATATATATATATATATATATATATTTATAGTTTGTATATTGTATTTTTGTATATTTGTTTCCTATTGTAACAATGCAATGTTTTGTGGACCCAGGACATACTTGAAAGCGAGAGAAATCTCAATGTATCTTTCCTGGTAAAATATTTTATAAATAAATACCTTGCATACTGTTAATGGTAATTCAATAGCCACAAACACGAAAACACTTCAGACAATACATGCATACAGTGTATTGTTGAAAAAGCATATTAAGCCACAAGATGGCAGTCTAAAAGAATCCAGTTCAGTCTGTAACAAAGACAAGACATTCACAAACAGCTGGTCAAAAGTTAAATTTAAGAACAAAAAACAAAAAACCCAGAATATAACTTGATATAAATGCTATTACGTAAAAAAAATAATAGTTCTAATGTACCTAAAAGCAGTGCAATTTGCAGGCTGTGTTCAAAGAACAGTAAAGTATTCCTGCAATTTTTCAAATGTTCACATTAAAAAAATATAGCATTTTAAATAGAAATTCTTAGATTCTTATTGAACTTAATGTTTTCTTTTTAATATCTGGTTCAATAAAATGTTGCTTTAATTATCAGCTTTCATCATTTTTTTTTTTTTTTACCCTCTGTAAAATGTTTTATATCTGTTAAATCAGTATGATCATGTTAAAAGAATAAGCAATTTACCTAAGCAAAGTGCTGGGCAAAACTTGTATAAATTACAGCTTCCACAGCAATCATTCACCCTTTCTTAATAATACAGGGCAGGTCAGTTTGACCAGTAGACAAAGTGAACAAGTACATATGATTCACCAGCAGAAGTAGAATTACAGCTCAGTAGCAGTCTTTCAATTTGAAAAAAAAGGCACTTCAACTACTATAACCACAACAGATGTCTGTGAAGTGCACTACCACCTCCATCTTGACTGTCACACAGTGTTGTAAAATAAAAAAATAAAAAATATATGCATGTAGTCTTTTTTTAACCTGTCAGCATAGTGTGCAATGTGTGTCCTAGCTGTACTAAGATTGTGGCTTAATTGTCATCGGGGGGGGGGGAATTTTTACTTGCCAATGGTGTGTGGAAATTATGAACCCTGTTCAATATATCTATTTTAAAGGAAAACTAAGCACCTCATTGGAAAAACAAATTGTTAACATACGTTTTTTTTTTATTCTTTATTTTTGCTGTGCTCATTAGACATGTGCAATTCGGTTCGGTCCGAATCGAATTTGGATGCTTCCGAATGGCCTAAGTGGCGAATTTCGGAAGTCCGAACCAAACCAAATCGTCGAATTTCCAAAATGCTTTGGACTTCTGAAAAGTGGAAAAACGGGTAAGGGTTAGGGGTAGAGTTAGGAGTAGGGTTAAGTGTATGGTTAGGGGTAGGGTAAGGAGTAGGGTTAGAGTAGGGTTACCTCTACCCCTAACCCAACGCCTACAAATCCCGAAGTACCGAATTCCCGAATTTTGGAAGTGCCAAACCAAACTGAGTTGCCGAAGTCCCGATTTTTGTAAGTGACGAATTTCTGAAGTGCCGAACAGAATTGCCGAATTTTGGAAGTGCCGAACCGCCGAATTTCGAAATGCTGCACCAAATATTTTGGCCCTGCACATCCCTAGTGCTCCTAACAAAACAGACTTGCATCGACATGACAGATTGGCCAAGTACTAGAAAATCAACATAAGAAGACAATGTCATGGCATCGCAAACTACTGCACATTTTTAAGAATAAACAAGGTATATAGCAGAATGAAGCATGTTGAGAGTAATCCCCCAGAAGGCCCCCCTGTTAGTGAGGTGAGGAGAAAGGGTGCATCAAAGCTAACTAAAGCACAGCACATTAGGGACCCTCTTGTTAATTGGCTTGAGATGGGGAAATAAAGCGCTGAATAGTCTCAATTCACCCTATGCCCTTCATGGGCAGAGCATAGTCCATCTTCTTCTGGGAACATTGAGAGGACTCAAGCCAATTTGAATGCTGGTATGTCAGTGTGAATCTGATTTGGGCCTCAGAGAAGCTCAGCTGCGTGGCTCCCGGTGTGCGTGCGATCCTCTCTTCCTGACTAGTCGCCATTTTAGGGCCTTCCCTGGAGGGTGCACTGAGGGTTCCATTTAGCAATTTGTAGCCAGCTGCGGATTTGAGAAAACAGAAAAGAGAGACCCACTGGGTCAAAAGTGAGAAAGCCCCTAAATAGAGTTACATGTTAATAAAACATAACTTTTAATAGTAGTTATAAAAAAACATACACATAATTAAAAGAAAAGAAAGGTCTGAAAAAATTAGGGAGACCAGAGAGATAGATAAAATGCAGGTAGAGGAATAAAGGCAAAATCTCTAATTCTGAGGCCACATACGTGGATCTAAAAAATGGACAAAAGAGCCCTTCCTTAGCTGAACTTGCCCTTAATATTACTAACTGTGATATAGACAGCTACGTTCAATGATTGCTTGAATAGCACTGACTACATAAAGTACTGGGGTATGGCAACAAAATGATACCTATGAACATTGTATCAATGCAGAGTGGATGTCAGTAGATCCAGATGACAGAGTATACAAAATATCCCTTGAGGCAAAATCGCAGAGTGGAGGGCATAAGGTACCCCCTTCCCATGTAGGGAGTCTGTAAATAAAGATACCAACCCACCCACTTTAGTAACCCAGATCTTAAGCTCAGATGATACAAAGAGAAAAGAACACACGAAGTGAGCCAGAGAAAGAAAATAAACCCTAGCCAAAAATCCTCGAGATAGCTGTTTGCTCTCTGGTACTGTCAATAGTGAGAGATATAAATTGAGGAGGGAATCGCTGATCTTACTGCCTATAATCAAAATCACTGGTCTCCCTGCCTACTGCCTAACATATGTTTCGGCGCTATAGAACGCGCCTTCTTCCGAGGCTTAGCAGGGTATATGTGAGGGTTATCCCCTTTTCTTGGTTAGCCCCAGACACACACTTTTGCAAGGTACCCCTTTTTCAAGGGGGTCCTTGCTTCTTTGTTTAGCTGCGGGTTTGAGTGGACTCTTGAGAGCAGTGGGATATGTTGGTGCATTTTACTCTCCAGCCGTTGCCTAAAAAGAGGTCGTCCAGCCTGGATTCGAAATCACTTAGAGCATCATTTGGTTTGCGGAGACAGGATGCCTCCACCATGTTGAGTATGTAGTGGTTAACGGCATTATTCTGAGAGGCTGTACTCTGCGTGCCTGCCAGGTCGGGGTAGCCACACTAGGATGGACCAGGATCACCCCCACCGGTCCAAGGGGAGGTAACGGGGTGCCTGTTTGGTGATTTTAGCCTCTGGGCACCTCTTGAGCGGGAGAGTGACTGCCTCCCCCGCCCGTTGTGCACCAGGCCGCATTTGCCTTGAAGTATATGAGCTCCCAACACTGCACTGACTGCCACTCGGTACTTTAGTCATGCCGGGAGACAAATTCTTCACAAGATTGGCTTCCGTTTGAGCGGGAGGAGGTAGAGAATTGCTATTTAAAATCACAATATTAGAGGAGCTCGTTCAGGTTGCTTCTTTCCTCCATGTCAGTCAGGCCCCACTACCCTGTTAACATAAGGTTTAGGTCATTTTTATAGTTTTATTATATGTTGTAACATCTAGAGAAGTGTCAGATCTCTAACTACCGCTCTACCAATACTAATATTGCACAAAAAACAAATGAATATTTCAAGAATTTAAAGTGCACCTGTCATACATGACATTTAATCTATACATTGTGCTAGTTGAAAAGTTATTCACCATTTTTTTTATATTCTGAAGAATACCAGTAATGACTACCTCTGTGGAACAAGTCTATTTGTCTAAATGGAAATCTATAAATTACATACTAAATCATTTTACAACTAAATTTAATTCAGGCTCAAGTTTCCACAAATGCCCTGCATTAAGCTATTCTCATAGGCGTGCGCACGGGGTGTGGCTGGGCACAACCTAATCCCCGCGGCACGCCTATGGAGTGAGACCAGCAGGGGAGATCTCAGGATCCCCCGTCGGCTCATGCAGAGCCGGCGTTATCTGAGCGCCGGCTCTGCTCTAAGCCTCCCCTCACCGACACACAGGCAGTGAGGGAGACAGGAAAGGACCCGGGGAGCTATTGCCGGTAGCTCCGCCAGGTTCCTCTCGCGAGATCTGAGTGTTGATCTCTAGAGTTCACTCTCCACTGGACCACCAGGGAAGGATGGCAGCAGGAACAAGGATTCCCCCCCACCTCCCAGGCATAAGGTAGGAAGGGAGGGGGATATTAACTGATCGCCCCCATCTCCACTGGACCACCAGGGAAGGCCGCAAGGAAGGATCCCCCCTCCCTACATAAGGTAAGAAGGGAGGGGGGATATTTATGAACTAATCTGCCCCCACCTCCACCCCCACAAATCACCCAAACATACAGCACACAAACAGAACACACACACACACAGCACCCAAAGCACCCACACACATACAGCACCCTCACAAGCGCACACACACACACACAAACACCCTCACCCACATAGCTCACTGCCAGCACCCTCACATCACACTAACAGCACACACACACACACACACCAGTGTATGTGTGTGTATAATATATATATATATATATATATATATATATATATATATATATATACATACATACATACACACACATACATATACATACACACACACACACAGCGTGTGCTTGTGCTTTAGGGTGCACACCCTAATGCAATAGGCTGCGCACACCTATGGCTATTCTACAAAACAGTTTCCATTTATATTGTTGTAAGACAACAGGTTTAGAGGGTTAAGAGGATCCTATAGTGCTACAAATATAAAATATGCATTCCTAGCACTATAGCTCTCTTGCGACTCCCCCTACAATGTAAGGGTTAATAAACCCTTACTGTATTTACCTGATTCCAGCGCAGATCTCCCTCCGTGCTCTGCCCCTCTGGCGTCACCCAGTTTGGGGGGCGGTGCTAATGTGCATGTTCAGTGAGCACATTAGGCTCTCCCCATGGGAAAACATTGCTTACCTATTTTATATCACAGTTGGATGTCCTCATGCACAGTGTGGGGACAACCAGCATCGGTTAGGAGACCTAAAGTCGCCTAACAAGCAGGAAGGGCCTCTAGTAGCTGTCTGATTGACAGCCACTGAGGCAGTCTTAACCCTGCAATGCAATTATTGCAGTTTAGCAGAAATTGCTATAGTTAATATTGCAGGATTAAGGGGACAGGGACACTGCATCCTAACCACTATGAGCTGAAGTGGTCTGGGTGACTATAGTGTCCCTTTGATATGTGGCTAAGTTTTGGAACAGGGGCTAACATTTTATACTTGGATTCAGATATCAAAATATTTTGTGCAAGTCCTAATGATTCTGATGTCATATTTAACACACAGATTCCTACATCTAGGGAACCGAGTATACAACTGATGTGCAGTAAGTAAATTGCTATTGATAATAATTGGTGCACACATAGGTCCACAAGAACAAGTGAGGTATATATGGGATTGGTAGAGTGCAAGTTAAATTATTATTTATATTATGTACATACGAAATGTTATTAATTCTAAATTGATATAATGATGCACAACAGATACACTCAATGCAGCAAATACAATGGGTGCAATCCAATTCAAGCTTTAAACAAACACAACCAAGCTTCATCTTTGCCAAATGCCAAGCTCGCTATCCCCCACCCCACCAAAAAGGATCCAGGACAAATAAATCTCATAATTTATGTATTATTCTGATACCATTATAGGAGGTTTCTATTTCATAGATTAACTGGTTTTAAAAACATTCTCTACAAAAGATGCAACAACTGATTATCTTGGAATAACCAAGAAATGGCATAGGTTTCCAAAGTCTAGGATACATTCTATGTGAACTCTGCAGTTTAACCCAACTGACAGCCATTACTGGAAAACTGAATTTATAGCTAACACTGTTAGGTAAAACAAAAATCCACATGAAAACTAGGCCAAACATCAAGGCTCCAACATCTTTTTGATAGCTCTCGGGAACGTCGTTTTTCGTTCACTGCTTGGTGCAAGTGCATCAATTATTTCTTCCTTGCATTCTGTGATGTGACCTTAAAAAAAAACAAAAAAAACTGCCTCTTCACATATGTGCAGGTTTGATGGGTTAACCTTCTAGCCTTTCATGTGAAACAAGGCAGGAAAATCTTATTTTTTTATTATTTATTTTTATATCGCTAGAAAGGATATGTTTTATTCTATGTACTGCTATCTGCATGTAATGTTTAAACACAACTTTTCTCTATTTGGTTTTAAATAATAGATATAAATAAATCTATTGAAAAGTAAATGGAAAAAGATTGCAAAAGCAAATGATGCATTCTTGTAAATTATGTAAGTTACTATAACTGGTTTAGAAACAATGGCAAACTCCAACTCCACCGGTGTAATTACCTTTTGTATTGTTTGGGTTGTCAGTTGTGGCAGCTACCCCTTTGGCTTATATTCTCAAGTAAGACTCTTAACCAACGATATGTACAAACAAAATATTCAGTGTTATATAGAAAAATGAAAAAAATGCACATAGCTTTATAGAGTTACATATTTTGTGAGTGCAATATTAAAAATGTAACATAATATGCAGAATTACTTGCGCTCACTGGTGCCCCCCCCTACATGGATGGCTATTAGCCTGCACTCCACTTTCCAGTAACTTGTTGGTAGCCAAAAGGCAATTCACTCTAACACAGGAAATGAAGATGTGGTAATGTATTACAATCAAAAAAGCATATTTAAAATTGTTCCAGTCTGAACGTTTTATCCAGCACAGAATTCTTAAAAGACAGTAATAAATTTTAAAAAAAAGAAGAAATTATAACCCTACCAACCCCATGTCTGTTTATAACATCTAAATTCTCCTGTCATTAGTGGATTCATGAGTGCAACCTCCCACACTTGGCTGTCTCCATCCTGCAGATCACCTTGCATTTGATGTAGTTGTCTCCATTGTCTGGCAACATCCAATGTGGTTTCCCCGTGAGCCACACCACCTTTCACCTCCAGCTGAAATGTTAAACAGGCCCCGGCTACTTTATGTCCCGTGATGTGTTACTCACTTGAAATTCTGCGTTCCACAAATTGTAAAATTTGAGGAAATGAATAGAGACTAAGTGAAATTTAAAAATATATTAAACAATGTAACAATCTAGAGAGTGAATTCCATATAGACATAGGTATTTTATTTTATCTAAATAGTATTGGTAGGTGTAGGGAATCACTAGATAATATTTTTAATACATTGTATTGACTTATATGTAGATTTAAATAATGCTATAATATTTATAATATAACATAATAGAAACATAGAATGTGACGGCAGATAAGAACCATTCGGCCCATCTAGTCTGCCCAATTTTCTAAATACTTTCATTAGTCCCTGGCCTTATCGTATAGCTAGGATAGCCTTATGCTTATCGCACGCATGCTTAAACTCATTTACAGTGTTAACCTCTACCACTTCAGCTGGAAGGCTATTCCATGTATCCACTACCCTCTCACCAAAGTCATACTTCATGATATTATATTGGTGAAAAGGTTCTCTTGCCTTGGCTGGGAATCATACCCAGATCAACTGCTTGGAAGGCAGCTATGCTCACCCACTATACCACCAACGCTTGATCTGCTAACTATTTAATAAGAATAGAAGATTGGAATATATATGTCATATTTACATGGCACAAAATTAACTTAATATATTCATTTTTTTTTTTAAATATTAGAAAATATAGCCAAATGTTTTACAATTTTGATATTAAGTAGTGACAAGTCTGTCCCCCTGTTTAATAAACATAATAAATTATATATTAATATAATTCAACCTCTAGTTTGTTACATTGTGAAATATATTTTTACATTTCCCTTTGTAAGGTTTCATTTTGAGGTCACAATTTACATATTTCACAGGCCTATATATGACCCCAACCCTCCACCCTCTTTCCCCTCAAACAAAAAACACCAGGCAATGCTTTGATGATAAGCTGCAAGAGGGGCAGCCATGACGTGAACTGCAATTAATTCAGCCTCAGAATGTCAGGAATAAAGAGAGTTTACCAATTCATATGTATTATCCTGCTCCAACAGGGATTTTTGGCATCCCGACTATTTTATTTTACAGCCACACCAGCATCCCCGCAATCATAGCTGTGTAATGCTAATGTTCTCTTTTATTGCGGCTTCAAGAAAGAACATGTCTTGAGGCATGTAGCCCTCTGCAGAAGATACTTGCATGAACAAGACTGTTTGCAAGAGAGTTTCTCAAATCAAGTCAAAATTAGATTGAATCATCAGGTGAAAACCTGGTACATTTAGAAGAGCAATAAATATATGGTACAAATAAATAAGAAGTGGCAAAAGAACAAAAATAAAATAAAATAAAAGCATTTTACATGTTCTAGTGAATACTCTTAAAGTATAAATGAGACTGGAATATTTGTCATAAATGCTCAGACAGCCCATAAGAGTTTTTAAATTACAAAGTTGAAATGCTGTCCCTGAAAAATATATCACAAAGACAGACAGATTATTTTGGAGATTTAAGGATGGTACACAAATTCATCCAAATGTCTGATTATAACAACAACAACAAAAAATTTGCCACCTTTTTACTATATCAAATAAATTGGTCTATAAATTAAAAAATAAAACGAGGTAACTTGAAACAGAGAAAATACAGGGCTATCGATGGCAACATAAATAATTCTCAAATCTTGCATCATTAATGGCTGGCTTTAGGTTATGAAACTCCAAAGTAAAACCATAATATAGTACTTTGGAAGCCGGCAGTGTCAGCCCTAGAACTGGCATTTCACAATTTGAACACAGTCTAAATGTGCCCATTACTGCTATGTGACCGAAAGGGATTGAAATATATTTCCCTAGTGCTTTTTAGGAATATATGACACTCCATACAGAGCTCCAATTTAAGAGCCTCGAAAATGAATTCCAGTAATTTATAATGGCAGACTCTTGGTCAGAAACACATACGCATCAGGTATTTCTTCACTTCTATGGTCAACCAGAGTCCTTTCTGTCAATTCAGTAGACCTATGCTAAGATAGACAGCTACTCAGCAGCTGTAAAACTGCACAGCCTGAACAAGAAGCAGAACTTTAGATTTTAAAATGAATCAATACATCTTACATAATAATAATGCTCTCCCAATGTTGCAATGAATGGTGGGCAAGAGGACATAAAAATTGATACTTGTCCAACTCCTATAACTCTTGGGGGGTGCTTTCTGTATTAGTTTTTAAAATACTGAGCAATAGCCTAGGTCCACACCAAAGTTTTCTAAAAGTCATTATGAGGAAATGATGCTTCCCCAATTTCCATCCACATTATGTTGCTCAAACATTGCATTTAGTGACTCAGAACGCTGGGGTGCAGGATGACAGAGTTGTTCTGAAAGGGCCTGTTGTGATTCAGCTCTGTCAAGAAAGGACCTGCAATGATTCACCTATACCGTATTGTGTTCTAACCCATAACTGAGTATCAGAACCTTTGATGGTGAACTTAGAAGCTAGACCTTCACAGAATGATACTATAAGGCATCGGGAGTGAGGACTTCAAGCACCAGTAGTTACCAAGAATGGTGCCAAAATAAATTAAACCTAATGGAGAAAAAAACAAAACAAAAAAAACATAACTGAAACCAG